TCTCTCTCTCTCTCTCTCTCTCTCTCTGCTTCTCTTTCTAACGTTCGTCGTATCATCTCCTTTCCTCGGTCTCTATTGTCTCCTCTTCGTCTGCTCCTCTCGGCCTCTGCTCCCCCTCACGCTCAGCTTGGCGGAGACCGCAGCACACCTAAACCCTTAACCACCTACTTCTAACCGCGCGGGTTCCTCGGATCCCATTGCCGGCCTCTCCCGGGGCATGTAATTACTCGACGGACGATGTCTTTCGGCCCTTTTGCTCCTCGACCGTATTACCTTCTTCGGCCGTCTCGCGCTCGCCGCTCCGCTCGGCCGAAGCTGTCGCGCGGCCGGATCGCGTGGCCTTTTTCTTTTTTTTTTTTTTTTTTTTTTCCCCCTCCTCGGCAACACCACCCAGAGATTTCACTCGTCTACTCTCATCTAGTAAGTTATCGAAGCTGCAACTTCGACTTCGGAATTGCGAGAGTCTCTCAATCACCTGTGAGAACAGATACTCTTGCAGTCAGTTGGGACAAAATATATGAGTGAGGTGAAGACCCGAAGGAATTTTGTCATTGAGAGAGGAACTAAATCATCGCGTCTAATTAAATTGTCGTGTCTATGTCGAAATATGCGCGTTTTCTACGTACCTACAGAAGTATTTTTGTATACTTTTTGGAACATTTTGTATGTCGTTGTGTATTATATTTATTCTTGCACTCTTTGAATTGTGCAACACCAATTGCAGAAATCGACGAGCCATGTTCCTTCGGCGCACTGTATATAATATTGTCCTTCTGATTGCAAAGAAATCGTACTTGCGTTCCTTGTTCTTTTTTCAGACGCAAGCCACTGGTACTGAGAATGTACTCAGAAAGTACCTATTACAGTTGTAATTTTTCATCGTGTAACAGGCCGCTTGTGTAATGCATTTTTAAACTCAAGTTACTTTCAACCCCTTTGCTACTTTCAACCCCGGCCTATCATAAGGGAGAAACGGATCCTCAGTCAGTATTTTATTTCCTTTCTAGACTACTAATATATATCGTACAAATTGACAACCACGAAGAATAGATATCTAGTTTGAGCTGCTTCTAAAAAGTTCATCCATGGAAACTATAGACTTCTATCTTACGCGAATATTTTAATCGATCAGTTTTCAATTATCAGCAGAATAATACGTCGATGAGTTAAATGAAATTCGCATAAGAATATTTACTTCACGTCCACGTATAAATATAAATAACGTAGAACCATCGGGTTATATATTAAAGTTAAGTTTCTCCGATTAAGAACAAGAATGATAGACGTAACATCGTAAAAATGATAATTTCGTTAAAAAAAATTCCCTCGCGTTTGGTGGTTTAACGAGCGTCCTTAAAGCGACGAAAGTCTTCAACTGAAATTTCAAATTGATACGTCGATATCGATCTCGGTTGCCGATGTCGTCCCAGGCTTCGCTGCTACAATTACCCCCCTCCTGTCGCTGGAGGCCGCTCGGCGAGCGTCGTAATGGCGGCGAAGCCCTCGGGAAAGTTCGACACTTGCCTCGCGATATTTATGAACGCATTGTGCTTGTTGCCGTTACGGCACGAACGAGTTTATCCAGTCGCTAGCTGTCGTCAACGGCGAAGAAAAAAAAAAAAAGAAAAAAGAAAAAGAAGGAGCGACCGGCGAAAAATATCGCGAACCATATTTCCACCGGAGATAACTCGTCTTTCCGCTAATTTACGATCCGGGCCGTGCACGCGCGGGTCGTCGAAACCTGCCAGTAAACATGGAGCCCGTCGTTTCGCCTAATCTGAAAGAAAATCTTGCGAACCGCCCCCGAACGAACACAGGTACTGCACACAGGTTCGATATTCAACGCAGAAAATATCGAATCCGGTGAACTGATACTCGAACGATTCGTCACGCGGCACGTTTGAAAGAGCCGCGCGTTTCTCTCAGGTAGCACAGCGAGGAGGAGCCTCGAGTCGATCGCGAAACAATCGGCTCCTGCGGCCTTCAATATTGTGACTCGGCCGTTCGTCACGCCGAAGAATTCGCTTGCACGCCGGTTTTCACTCAGCCTAATTTTCGAAAGGCAACTGCCACGCGAACGTGACGAATCCGACGATCGTCCGATCTCGTCCGACCGATCGGTAGCTTGATCTTTGAGCTCTCGAATTAGGATCGCATCCAGAAATTTCTTGTTCGTTCCTCTACCAGTAGAGTACCTACTCTTGATTAATGTCTGTCATTT